GCAGAACATTAAGCTTCTGCTCCTCCTTTCAACTCTTGTGTTCTACTGCTTCTCCTCCCTCTTCCTCTTCTTTCCTCTTACCTTCTTATTTTTTATCCTGAAATCCATTAGGGTTCAAGACTGATAACAGTCCTGAACTTCTACTCATTCAAATTGAAACCCTTGGGATTCATGATTCAAATTGTGAACCGTGTCGTAAATCATAAGATTTTAACAATATTGCTCTTGACTTTACCACAAAGATTCTCAATTAGCAAGAAAAGTCTTCAAGAATTCAGTTGTTCCTTTCCCTCCAAATGCACCAACAGATTGCACAAGGAACTATTTCCAGAGAGCTCTCCCCCTTCTACGAAAAGTTTGTACTCTCCGTAAGCCGATGGATGAGGATGGTCTGTAGGTTCTGAAGTTGAGATTAAGGATGCCGAAAGCTGAAGAGAGCTAAGGGAAGAGATCTGGGAAAAGTTGAGCAATAGAAGGGAATTACAAGCAAAAATGGCTAAGGGAAAAGGGTCCCTTCACCAGGGTCCTCGCCTCCTATTTATAGAATCGAGGAGCCATGCTACATGCATGGCCTTGCATAATCCAAAATCTTCTTCCTCTAAAGGAACATGAAGGGAGCAAATCCCACCTTTTTCTCCTCAATAGGCATGTGTCTTAGGGACCACGAGGTTGTTAGACACATTTTTAGGAGACACTGGAATAACATATGCCCATGCAGGCATGAAGTACAACCCATCATGGTTTCCTTATGCAATTATGTGTTTCCCCCCAAGTGCCTTCTTGGATACCCATTGCTCAGTATAGGTCCCTCGCAAGAACCCTCTAGTGTGGAGTCATAGCGAGACTCCATCCAATGAGATCACCAACTAGTTCTAGGTGAAAAGGGAGTGCCTTGTTGCCTAGTTACCTAGTTACCTAAGGGAGAGGTAAACTCTCTTAACTCTCTCGAAAAAAGTACAAATTACAAACAAGCCCAAAATAGACAATTTCTTCCCACCCCATTGTAGAGTAACCTCCAATGGGGTTACAAACAAGCCCAAAAAGTACAAATTACAAACAAGCCCAAAATAGACAATTTCTTCCTTTTGCAACCAGCTAATCACCAACTTAGAGTCTCCCCCAATTGAAAGCTTGCAAATATCCAATTCCTTTGCTTTATGAATTCCTTCCACGACAGCAAAAATTTCAGCTCTTAAGGCATCACCCACCCCTATTGGACCAGAGAATAGAGCAACAATTTTTCCTTCCTCATTTCTGAATACTCCTCCAATACCTGAGGATCTGGATTATCTTCACTGCTACCATCAAAATTCAGATTTACAAAAGCCTCTTGCATGTGGGGACCAGTCTTGTCTATAGATCACCTTGAAAGGAGCAGAATCAACCACTTCCTCCTCAACTCACCAGCCACTTCCTTCCACTTGCTTTATTGTAACTCCTAGCTTTTCTTTATAAGTAATAAAATTCTAATCATCCAGTATGAACAAAAAAGAAATTAAAAGCATAAAATCCAAATGCATCCAAAAACCAAACATACATACAAGAGACATATGTTTACACACACGGTAGAGGGAGAGAAAGAGAGAGAGAGAGAGAGAGAGAGAGAGAGATCTTCCTTCTATACACCTTTAGTTTGCAAGAAGCACTGCATCCAGAATCTTCATCCAACAAGGCTAGATCATCTGAGTCATGCAACTGTACAGCACATTCACATTGGTCATTTACATAGATTATAGGCTTCTAAGTACAAAACAAAAAATCTTCCTAATGATGTTCTGTTGTCACTTACATTGTTGTTGTGGAATAGCATGTCAACTATATATAGAGTAATTTCTTTCTCCCAAGCCTCAAATGTTGATACAGAATATTGTGCAATACAACCCAAAGACTGAAAAACAGTTGGTATATTCTGCCCAGTATGAAGAGAATCTACAAGCTTCTGGACATGCATTACACAAGTAAAATAATTAAATATTCGTCCAAAATCAGCATGTTTATACATTGTATCTATGTATGCACGCATGTATATGTGCATATGTAAATAAAACACATAAAAATCACATCAATATATCACTGATAAAGTTGCAAATCCCATTTCAGAATTAACAATTCACGTAAACTGCACAATGATAACATAAACAAAGTGTGTTTATCTCATATTCAAATGAATGTAATGCATTAAAAGAAATCAAAGCTATGGTGCCTCCACTTCTCTTTTTAACATTTTATTATAATATTAAAATAAACACATTTGGAGGGTTTTCCTCCTCTGTGTTATGTTAATATATAATGGGGAACACAATAAAATGGTTGTGTCAATTCTATTTATAACATTTCTATTATAAAAAAAAATAGCTTAAAAGGTAAGAGAATATGAGGCATACACCTATATAAAGCACAATAGATGCATATAGAGACACACACCTCAAGCATATGATTCCAATATGTGCCTCCATGCATTTTCTTAGCATCTTGCATGGAGTCAAGCCTCCAGAACCTTTTACAACAGTGGTATCTCTTAATCTCCAGGACCTCCTCTAAATATGCTCGGTCAATTCATCCATGATTAGTGCAAACAAATAAGGGCTAACTGCTAACCATTGATGAAGTCCAAGTATAAGCCCACATGTTCTAAAAATGGTCATTGCACCACCATAGGTTCATGCATGTCTTTAATTAGGTCAATGTACCAATTCAATACCTTTTTCTTTTCCAAAATCCTCGTATTTTCCCTCTAGGGACTCTATCATATGCTTTCTCTAAATCCCTCGTATGAAAATCTCTCTTCTCCTAAAACTTTTATATTGATCACCTCAATAAAAGAAATACCTTGCATGGTTGATCTCCATGTCATAAAACGAAACAAGTTTTCCAAATTACTCATTATTTGCTATAGGCTTTGCACAATCACTCTCTCCCAAAGTGTCATAGAGTAGCTCACAAATTGCACAATTACTCTTTCTCCACCCACATGGCATTTTCTATATTTTCCGTTATCTTGTATAATAGTTTAGTTGACCATAACAAGCCTACCTATCCCATATGTTTCTACATTTGTATCGGGATGACATCAATTCCTAAAGATTTTCCCTTCTTTTTATTTTTTAAAGAATCCTTCACCTCAAAAATTTCTAATTTTGCACATACCTATAATTTCAAGATATACCAGAATTACAAATCCTTCCACAGTTTACCCCCTCTATATGTACTTCACTTAAAAAATTTTTAAAAGAGTTCAACCATCCTTTCTTGATTTCCTCATCTTTTACCAAAATTCCTTGATACTCATCTTTAATGTGTCAAACATGATCCATTTCTTCCTCACATCTTCGCAAATTTATAAATTCCATTTCTTCCTCTTTGGTGCATAGCTTATGATAAAATTCATAATATGCATTAAGCTTAGCTTCATGCATTGCCTTTTTTAGCACCATCTTTTGCAACTTTCAATGTTTTAGAGTTTCCTGCATTTTTAGTCTTTTGTCTAACTACATACCATGTTCATTCCACCCCAATTACATTTTTTTGATCAGTAACTATTGAGTTTTGGATTGGCCTTGGCTTTATTTTCAGGTCCTATTGGAAGTTGGTATCCACTAAGAGCAGAGGTGTTTGTTGTCTGTATTGATGATGACTCACAAAGATGATGAATTTCAGAAATATTGCAGTTGAAAGAGGCACCAAAGTAGTGGTTTGCTGGATAATGAACAACAGCAAAGTACTTTGGAAATACAGACCAATCACTGAAGAAACTAATGGCTGACAAGACAGTAAGGCACACCTTTGCAATGGACGCAGAGATCTGCAAATGCCATGGCTAATGCTTTTCTAAAGAAGGGGTATATATGGAAGAAATGTTTTTGGATCAGCTGTAATTTGATCAATTCTTGGGAATAGACAGTAGTCTTCGCCTACATATATTAGGGCCTCAAAACATGTATTCACTATTCATTCTTTTTAAATAGAAAGAAAAGGTTTTCTAACTATAAAAAAAAAAATGTTAAACTTTTGCATCTACAAAGTGCCAGGCACCATTATTTGATAGCTAGCCACCACTTAAATTAGTCAATTACAACCCCCCCCCACCCTTGGGGAACTTGACACTAGTACAACTAACTTCTAGTTGCCCCTTCCCTTGCTAGTCCATCCATTATGCTGTTGGCAGAACACAGTACCCACTTAAAATTTGTTTTCAGCTCTTTTTCCAACTCTTTAACCTCCCTTAGCATGTGTCTATGCCTCCATGAACCCACCCGGTTCCTTCTTATTCATCCAGTGGTAACAATGCTAGTCCTCTTCAAGCATGTTCCCATAGTATAGGGACTTGGCAATTCTTAATCATTGTAAGTTGTAATACAGCCCAATTTCTTAAAAATCCTCCTACTGCAAAAGGACTTGAACTCCCTAGACTGCAGCCAACAAAGCACAATTTTGTAAAGTTTTGGGGTGGTAACTGTAAGATATGAATTGCATAGTTCTTGCCAAAGAGGAAGAAGCCAATTGCTGCTGGTTATGAAAGACGTCATCAGTTGTCAAAGGTGCAAAAACTTCCATAATCTTCACCAAATGTGCAACCTTAACAGTGATGTTCTCAATAAATAATGGCTTTTTCACTCCAAGCTTTCTCTTTGAATAGTCTTGCATTTCTCTCTTGGTAAACATAGAAAAATACAGCTGGCCCCATACATTCCTAATGACTTTACCTCTTTTTTTAAGAGAAAAGAAGGATGTGCTGAATAAGCTTTTGGGATCTCCAAGGAGAGTTCGCCTGCATCCAAATAAAGAGAACTCCCAGATGGCAAACACAAGTTGGCAAGAGATTAGTAGATGAAAAAGCATTCTCACCATTTTCTTCACACAAGATGCACAAATAAGGCAAAAGATATAAGTAGGGTCCCCTTTGAAGATTCTCACAAGCATTTATTTTATCATGATAAACCTCCCAATTAAATGCTCTAATTTTAGGCAGCATAGGCCTCTACTAAATGTCACTCATATGACAAACTAATTGAGAATAGGGGTCTCAAGCCAATGCCATAGAAAAGTAATGATAAATGAAGGAGATCAAAGAGTTCAATGTGCAAATCCTACAATCAGGGCCAGAGGGCTCAAGGAAGACACCTTCCAAGGAATCAAGGAGTGGAAGAGCATCAAATGTCTCAAAGTCCCCCAGTCCTCTTATTAAAACAGATCCCAAGCTAAGCTTTGGTCAAAAAGTGAACCACAACATAAGACTGGTTTATGTTTACATGGAGAAATAGAATAAATGGAAGGAAACTTGTTCCTAGAAGGCAATTCCTTGCACAAAGATCTTCCCAGAATTTTGTTCCGTTACCACCTACCAGATAAGACATCATATCTTATAAATTGGCCCCAATTACATTTTTGTAACTCTTCATTCCATCACCTAGTTTCCTTAATGGCATGCCATTTCAATTTGATTTACTTAAACCTCTTTTGCTAATTTTTTCATATAAACCTCTTTTTCTATTGTCATACAGTTGGCCATTTCAAGCTACATATCATTGGTCAATTTATCCAAATTTTATGTCCTTTTATTATTAACTTATTCTTGTATTGTAATAATTTTTACTTTTAGATTCCACCAACTAATTCTTCATATATTTTCTTATCTCTTTTAACAGAAAATCTAAAACCATTAACCTACATTCTGTGTTTAAGTTTTCCCTTGTAGCAACTTTAGTAGTCCTTGTATATTTTACATTTTGTTCTCCTAGTAAGAAACAATATATTTCTCAATTTTGATCCACTTTTAAATATTACTAAATGTTCATTTCTCTCCCAAAACCTACAGCCTCCATGCACCCTATCATATTCCTTTCCTAATGTAACCATTAAGAGATCCTCTCCTATAGATTTTTTTTTTTTCTTTATCAATAGCACATTTCATTAATCAATCAGAAATATTAATTACAACGGAGGAGATAAACTTTCTTATCTCCCCAACTGAGGCTTGAGCCCCCATGAATAGAAGTTAGAGTTACAACTGAGCCCAGAACACTAATTAGCAATCCTATAGAAATTATCAAAATCCATTTGGAATTTTATTGAACTAATCCATCTATATTTTCCCAAAATTGACATTTAGTATTTTCATTTAAACATATTTGATGTTCATAACACTAACTAGTAACTTCCTTACTAACTTCTTTACCTGTTTCCAAACAGGCTTGAGAACCCTTCCCCATTACAGCCACAATCAAATGTCAATGTTTTGCATTAGTTCCTGGTTCCATTTCTCACCAAGCTCAGGTTATAGGTGAGGAATAGATTATCATTCCATTAGCATAGAACTGTATTAGCAAGATGCATACTAGAAACCACAAAGCATACAAAACACAGACCACACCTTGAAAAATTAAATCAGCACTGGAAGATAACAGTTGACGAGCCACAGATAACAAACATAAATTATGGAAGATAACAGTTGACTTGGGCATAAATGTACCTTGCACAATTTAGGGAAAACTAATTGATCAGAAGGACCAGCTAATGACGCGATTGCAGCAATAGAAAATTTTGCCTGCACACGAGTACCTTCCAAACATAACCTCTCCAATGGATGATAAATATCACTGCAAAGACCAATGTGTTTATTATTGGCATTGAAACTGATTTGCTATATATACATACATGTGCAAAAGATAAAAGATAAATTGAAAATATGTATTATGTATAAGACACATGCCCTCGGTTACAAATATTTCAAAAAATAAAGCATCCAAGCAATATCTCCAAAGGCAAACAATCAAACATTTGAAGCTTTTTGCAATTAACCATGTCAACAAGCAAAGTGGAGTCCCAATTCATAAGTTCTACGTGCTAAACATTAACAAAAAGCATGCTCACTACCTTGCATATTAAATAATATTCACGCATTACCTACATCCTACAAAAGAAGGTAATAATTAATAAATTAACATCACCAATGCATATTTCTGTTCATATCATAACAATAAGGAAGAGATATCTCTAGATTCAAAGAGAAGAGAAAAAAGAAGAAACGACAGGAAAAAGAGAGAGTGTTTGGCGAAAATTGTGCATGGCGGCACCCAGACTGACTTGTTTAAAAGGTGTGAAAAATTACACAAGTACCCCTCAGGTTCAAAAAAATTTACATAAGTACCCCTGATTACAATATATTAACATCAACAGTCCTAACAACACTCCCTTAGAGTTGGGCTGTATATATCTATCATTCCCAACTTGGTACAAATGTTAGCATGCTGGGTACTTGCCACACCTTTGGTGAAAGTATCACCTAATTGATCAACAGAGTTAACATACAGAATGCAAACTTCACCCACTTCAATCTTCTCAAAATTGGAAGTGCTTGTCTACTTCAATATACTTTGTCCTCTCATGCATCATAGGATTGTAGGCTATACTAATCACTGCCTTGTTGTCACAATACAATGACATTGGATGCTGAACTTCCACTCCCAACACCATTAGCGTATTCTTCAACCACCCCATGAGCCATGGCCCTATACTCAGCCTCTGCACTAGACCTAGAAACCATGGCTTGCTTCTTCTCCAAGTCACCAAATTACCCCCCCAACAAAAGTACAATGACCTGCGATAGATCATCTGTCATTGACTAAACCTATCCAATCAGCATCAATAAATGTCCCTACCCTCAACGGGCCATGCTTGGTGAAGAGAATACCTTTACCAAGGAACTTCTACAAGTACCTAAGGACTCTTTCTACTACAGCAAGATGAATGGTTCTGGAGCATGCATATACTGGCTTAACACGCCGATTGCATAGGCTATATCCTTGCTGTACATAGACAAGTACAGAAATCTCCCAATAAGTCTTTAAAATTGTCACATGTTAGAGAGGGGGTCACCACCTTCTTCCCCAACTTTGTGATTAACATCAATTGGAGTATTTGCTGGTTTAACTCTGAGTTTACTAGTGTCTTGTAGGAAATCTAGGATGTACTTCCTCTGGAAAATAAAGATGCCCTTGTCTAACCTTGAAACTTCAATCCCACGAAAATACTTTAGGGGGCCTAGATCTTTAACTTCAAACTGAGATCCCAAAAAATTCTTTAGTTTTTGTATCTTTGACTCCCAGTTTCCTGTAATAACAATGTCATCCACATGCAAAATAAGTATATCTACTAGAACACCTTCTCTCTTAACAGAGTAAGGTCACTCTGGCACTATCTAAAGCCAACCTACTTGACTGTATTATTGAACCTACCAAACCAAACCCTGGGAGTTTTTTTTGGCCATACGACTTCTTGAGATGACATACTTTTCCCTCTATTTCCTTTGAAAAAAAAGTAACCCAAAGGTTAAACTATGTATACTTCCTCCTCAAGATCACCATCTAAGAAGGCATTCTTAACATCCAATTGATGTAACTACCAGTTAAATATAGTAGCGAGGGAGAGAAAAACACAAATAGAGTTCATCTGAGCAACTGGA